TTGAATTGAATTGAATTGAATTTTCCAGTTGAAGAAGCAGCCTCGTTTTTAACATGAATCCCTGTTAGCCTGATTCTTCAGAGGCTGCTTCCCGGCTGCTGGTTGAACACTGGGAGCTGCTGTCCTGCCAGCGAGCTTCCAGTAAGCCTGACCACAAATAAAGTGTTTAATGAATGACTTTAAATCCCACAGTCAGCTCTGCACATAACTCTGCCTGTTTGGGTGTTTTCTCCCTGCTCTGGGAGGAGGTGTTCCTGCTGCGCCTCCCTGGAGCTCAGAGGAGGAACTCAAACACACTCCTGGCAGCAGAGCTTTGGCTGCATGGAGCAGAGAGACAGATGGCTTCCTGGTTTGGCTCCACATTTTATGGAACTTCTTCTCCATCCAGATTCCTGCAGGAAAGAAAAAAATGTTATTTTATGCTGCTGAGAAATTTAACATGAGAAATAAAATACATTTTGATCTTCAGGCAAACCTTCTACCTCATAGCAGAGCCTCTCCAGTCCAGACCTGCATGATCCCCAAACTTTAAGCAGATCTACGCTTCAACACGGCGGGATGTGACGCTGAGGCCTTCTGGGTCGTTATGAGGTATGAAGCAGATGGCATCCATCCGTCCATCCGTCCGTCCGTCCGTCGGTCCGTCCGTCCGTCCGTCCATCCATCCATCCATCCATCCATCCGTCCATCCATCTCTCCAGCTGAGGGACGTCCTGCATTATCGGGTCACTGCTCTGGTGTTTCTCCCTGATCCTCCAGAACTAGCCTCACTAACAGATCTGCTCTGCAGAGCTGGAAGCTGAGGAAGTTCGCTGGTTTGGGAGAAGCATCCTGCAGGATAGTAAATCTGGGGACTGGATCAGGAAGGAGAAGAATGATGTTCTGATTCATTTTCTCATTTCAAACCTTAAGAGAAAATGAATGTTCAGCCAAAGAGAGAGAAGGAGGAGGACAAAGGGGGAGGGCCGTCACAGCCTGGCCTGCAGCCGGATCCTGAGTCGTGCTGATGGGTGACATGTTGCATCGCAGTGTGACTCCATGACGCCAACAGGACCAGGAATATCTCCCACAGAAAGGAGTCCACCTCATGCGTCACCGAGGGACAGAAAGCATCCTGGCCGTTCTCTGCAGTCGGACCCGTCGGACTTCCTGTTTTACAGCAAAGCTTAACGAGCTGCAGCATAAGGAGATGATGTGGCTTTGATCTGGATTAAAACTTCTTTCTGTTTGTGGAATATTAATAATAAACAGATATATGCCCACTAGATAGCAGGAAAGAAATCCACAGAGAATCTCTTTCTCATGGATGTCCTG